GGTCTGACCCTGGACCGACGGGTGGGTGAGCGCCTGGGAGATGGAGGATGCCGTGACGATCTCCCCGGGTGTAGTCCCGTGCGTAGGCGGTGGATGTATGGGGGTAGAAATGGTGGAAGGTGGAGAAAGAGGTGGGGAAAGAGATGGGTTGTGGCGTGGGGACAGGGGACCACCGGTGAGAGGGAGGGGACCGCGGGAGCAGAGTGGGTAGTCGTGAGTCGGCTCGCCCCGTGACAAGCGAATCGCGAGTGAGAGGGTGGCGCGAAGCCGGTCGAGGGGAGAGTAGTCGGGTTCAGGGTGCTCGACGGGAGAAGGCGGGAGAGGAGGGGGGTTAGGAGAACCCTAAACTCTAGAAAAACCCAAAGACAACCCTAACCGGAGTTTCGGTGGTTAGGGTAGGGTAGCGGGGGCCTAATCACAAAAAGAAAATAGCAACTATGGAGGGAAGGGGAAAGAAAAATAAATAAACAGTGAAATTTTGAGATAAAAATAAAAATAAATAAATAATAAAAAGAGAAATAAGCAAAAGGTGACAAGAGAAAGAGTATTTGTTTTTCGAAATTTTCAGCAACATTTCCCTACCCCAATGGGGTGAAGAATATGCCAAGAGGAAGGAGAGACTAAGAGAAGCACACTAAGTTTTACAATGCCGCAGAATAAAACTTTCATAAAAATAAATAAAAATAACAAAGAAATGAGGAGGTGGAGGAGAATGAAAAGAAGACTAAGTTTTGATTTTTCAAAACTTTCGGCGGCATTTCGTTACCCCCAAGGGGTCAAGTGTGCCATCAAAAAGAATGACTAGGTAAAATGGAAAATTTTGGCCAGCACGTCGCTACCCCCAAAGGGTCAAAATGTGTTGTGAAAGACTAAATAAAAAAAATAAAAATTTCAGCAGCACTTTGTTACCCCCCAGGGTCTAGGGCTTTCTTGCTGAACGAGGGAAAGTTGTGTATGGTGATTTGGGCCTCACCTGCCAACTGATTCTTGAGTGGCATAGGAAGACATCTCAGGTAAGTGGTAAGCAAGACTTGGGGGTCATAGCGCACTCCAGGCACACAGATCAGACGCTCCACTGCGTCTGTGGCATCTCTTACCGGCCTTGAACGATCTAGAGCTCAAAGCCAGGATCACATCAGTGGCCTTTTGGGCCTCCTGAGGATCATGCCACCTTTCCTCCACCAGCTTAAGGAAGTCATCCGCTTTCTGGTTGACTGCCCAAGCACGGAAGTCATGATCGTACCCCTTTAATTGCACTAGTCCGCTTAACCAGCTTGCTGCACTCCCCTCCAGGTAGGAGGCAGCCACAAGCACTTCCTCGTGCTGCAAGGTCAACTTGCACTTCACGTAGATTGGCACTGAGCTCAACCATGTGTCAAGGTCTTCGCCCCTCTTATCCCCTGAGAAGGGTTTAGGCGAGGTGATGGCAGTCTTTGGAACCCACTGGCCTTGTCCCAGTATCTACTCCACTCCGAGCTATAGACCCTGGGGTGAAGGCTGCTGCACTAGCTGCTGTTGGGGCTGAGTGCCCTGCGGCTATACCGGCTTAGGGACAACAGGCTGCCCAGTTATGGCAGTCTGCAACAGAGGTTGGGAATACATTCTATACAGGAATCTGTACACTAGGACCTGCTGAGAACCCTCCTGTCAAAAGCATACTTAATAGGGAAGTGGCCTGCACCGATGCTGGAGGGACTACAAATGAGGATGCTCCAGTCACCGGTGGGACAAAAGGAGGAGGTTGTACCACAGGCCAGACACCGGGCTTGATGGTGATGGTGCTACCTGAACTCGCCAAGACAGCACGGCCAGGCTCTGCTGAATGTCCTGCAAAAGTGTCGTGTGATAGTCCTGCATTTCTATTACATATAGCAGGGCGGTTCTCACGACCTTCACATCATCATCCATATGAGTCAGGTCCATCTCCTCTCACTCTCTAAGGTCCGCTTGTCTCCGCTGCATCCCTGACTTACGTCTGAGCATCCTCTCCTTCTCTGCCTTTATCTCTCCTAATGCCTTCTGTAGCTGTGCCTCTTGAGCATCTGCTCTCTGTATGGCGATCTTCTCGGGAGTTACGCCAACTGCTGGCTTGCCATGACCCCAGCAGACTGACTCACGGTCTGTGCAATCGTCGTCCCTACAGTCCCATAACTACTGGCCTGGGAGCTTTGCTGCGCAGTTGTTGCCATGGTTGCTGAAGTTGCGGCTTCGCTTGCGAACGCCCTGCTTGCCTCTGCGTCCCTAGCCCTTCGCTGCTGCTGTTGTCTCTCCCTAAGCTGGCGGAACAGCAACTTAACACCCTCGGGTCCTAATGCCACGTGGGCCAACGGGCATCTTGCCGATTGCAAGATCCTATCATCCGAGTTGGGAACCTCCCTGTCGCTCATAAGCTATAGCATTGTACACAATCTGCACTAGGTCACACTCGATGCCTACCACCGCATAGGGCACAGACTGATTTAAAATAAATAAAATACTTAATCGGTGGCTATGTCAGAGTCTACACAGTTGGGTCGAACAGGTAAGTTCAGATTCCTACAAACGAAACTATTTTACTTTGACTGGTCCATAAACAAAAAGCAGATGAGGAGAAACTGTTCTACCTATGTTGTCTGTCAGATGCCAATGGCTGTAACATCTAACTAATCAAAATAAAAATAGAATCATTTGTGGGGTTGTTCTCAGAATGGAATTTTCCCCGAACTTATCACCTGAAATCTACCCCTCCCTCAGTTCTTCCTGATTGTCGCTTGACGTCAGCGTTCCTGAGCGATCCAGATAGCGTGCGTGTCTGAAGGTGTGCACACAGCCCACCCCTGTGCCCCGAGTCTATGTTGAGCTCGCCAGCCCTGCTCAATGTTTACTCTCGCGTGTAGCGAGCCTTACACCGACCGATTGGCTGATCAAGAGGCGTTTAAAGACGGCCTCCGAAGTCCTCAAGAATTATTTAACGTCGCAGACATGACGACTATCACAACCAATGGAAGGTAACCCCGTCGGTGCTTATTTATAGACGCCCGGTACTCGTCTCCCCTGAAGGGCTGACCTGCCCCTCATAACCCATCTATCAGCGCAGCAGACAGACAAAGGACAAGCAGCAAAGCATGTGTGCTCTACTCCCGGTGGGTTGGCATGGTGACCGTGACCCAGTGCTTGTCTAGGGCCCTTCAGATAGCTCCGCCCTCTCCTTCCAGATGCTCCACGTGAACAATGCCGACTCTCAAGGTTGAGCACACCCGACTCCTCACATGAGAGGACTCTCAAGACAGAACACACATCCTCACGGTAAGAAGTGTCGAAGAGGGTAGATAAGGTTAAGAGCAACGTACCTCAAAATAGCCGCCCCCAACCACATATATTCTCACCAGGTGACCCGATGTCCATTGTGATGACCAATCGCTGCTTCGGCACAACCAGCATTACACCGCCGTTCCACCTCGGCATCAATCGCACATCAGATAGTTCTCATCACACTGCGAAACACCCGTCACCACTTCGTAGCCTTCCTGGCAATACCCCTCACCTCCTGGGTCGCCTGCTTGCCTTCGCCCTCCTCACTACACACTCCCGACTGCCGCTCACCCAGCAGACCTCGTGCATGTACCGTATAGGCAGAAGACAAGCGCCAGATTAGCGCACCGTACCACAGCTCCGATACCAAATTGCAAGGAAAATGAGCGATAGTGAACTCCGGAAACCAAGCAGCATCAGTCGTGACCTCGGACCAAAAGCAGAATTGCAACACGAGTTTCACCAAATAAGAGCACAGCAAAAGCTCACAAGTGACAATGCTGGAATAGTCTCATCATGATCAACAATGAACCAATGTCGACATCCTATCTGGCGCTCTGCTCCCAGACTACAAATGGCAGATCCTATCTAGCCTATCTACAATGCCGATGGTGACATCAACAGCTCCCTTAAGTACGAGCAGATCTCGGCCAATGCCGTTCGCCTCAAGCACCAGGTATGTCTCTCGCATCACTCACAACCTCGATCCCCCACTCACGCCACATGCACCCAAGGACCATCATGCGCCTCATCCAGCATAGCGCAGCGCAGCTCAGCTATGGCTGCCTGCTCTTCCTGCTCGCTCGTGAGCGCGTGGGCGCTGGCCAGCAAATAGCACAGCATGCAGCCAGTACCCGAATGCCAAGTGCGAGGGCAGGCACTTTCCTAAATGGAAGTGGCCTGCCTGCTGCGTGCGGCCTGGCTGCACTGGGCCCCGGCCCAGAAGCTTCCGGTAGGCCCCGAGAGGTCGAGCCTCAGTCCAAACGAATCAGGCCCAGGGCCTATGGCGGTTACCCGTGCCCAACTGCCCGCAGCTTGTGTTGGGTCCATGTTGCATATCTCGCCCAGGGCCTGCCTCAGATACATTTGATGAAGGCAGCCTGGGCCTGGGCGTTCTCAACCAACTGGCGCTGCGCAACTACCTGAAATCCCCAGTTGCGTGGTAGCCCAAAAATAGGCCTCTTGTCTTTGGTCGGGAATGCCTTCACTTAGGGCGGCCGACACTGTTGTAAACAGGGTCCAGTAGGGCTTACCGAGGCCTTACGTCTCACATTATCTGAATCTCCTGCTGTTTCTTACGCCTTGGATTTCGGCTATATGTTTGTTTGTTACGCTCCATCACATATCGTCATGAGTACCTTCGGTTGGGCCATTGGGTCTGCAAGTGCTCTGGGGCTGTCTCTTATACACATCTAGATGTGTATAAGAGACAGGGCCTTACGTCTCACATTATCTGAATCTCCTGCTGTTTCTTACGCCTTGGATTTCGGCTATATGTTTGTTTGTTACGCTCCATCACATATCGTCATGAGTACCTTCGGTTGGGCCATTGGGTCTGCAAGTGCTCTGGGGCTTCAGCATGGTTAAGTGCATTTGCAAGTTTGGTCAACGTTCCCTCCTGTAAGAAGAAAGCTCAGTCAGCATGGCCTCCCGGTTCCCTCACATAAATTACAATTTCGACTGTCAGAATGTATCCACAATCATCTTACCTTATTCCATAGAACCATGTGGGTGACATTGTCAACAATTCCTCTGCTGAACATGGGGGCTTGGAGGAAAGATAAGTAGCCTGTCACTCTCTTCAGCTTCTCGTTTATACGCTTGCGAAGACCGGGCGTTACCATGTACTTGTTCCTGTCATGAAGCAGTTCGTCGTCATTGAAGTTGGCATGGAAAGCAACATCAAGACCAACCTGAACAGCAAACATGTTAACACAGACAAACAATGCAACCATTGTGCAGGTTCTGCATGGTCAGAAAATGGTGAACACAATTCAGCATACAATGTGTAGGCTCCGTGTTAACTACGTGTCTGTAGCACTGCGTACGCTTAGGGCCTACAATACAAAAGCACCCAGCCATCTGACTGAATGATGCACACAAGATGGATACGATACTGCTAGGGACTACCACCTTTTTTCCATCCACTACCTTCTTAAAGTCAAAAGTGGCTCTAATGTGATGATGCGCCACGAGACCCCTAGAACTGGTTGGGCACAGGGCAAGGACCCAAAAAACATTGTGCCATGCTGTTCCGTTTCCACCTTTTTGCCATACAGTTTTGTGCCATGTGGCGCAATTCGTTTATGCCATGCGGTTATGCATCCTGCTGACAACACCAGGGGAAATTTTGGGCCCAACTGCGTGGGGCCCTGGGTCTTACTGGTTGGGGTCGCAAGGGAAAAGCGGGGCTGTATTGTGCAACCAAATTTTGTGCCTTGTGGCCTTTCCAGAACGATTGGGTTGCCCTGATGTGAAGTGGCCCACTCAACATGCTCGGCCCCAAATTGAGACAAGCTCTCTCTCTCTCTCTCCCTCTCTCTCTCTCTCTCTCTCTCTCTCTCTCTCTCTCTCTCTCTCTCTCTCTCTCTCTCTCTCTCTCTCTC